AGCACAGGCTCCGGACGCGCAGGCTCAGCGGCCATGGCTCACGGGTCCAGCCGCTCCGCAGCATGTGGGATCCTCCCGGACCGGGGGCACGAACGGTGTCCCCTGCCCCGGCAGGCAGACCCTCAACCACTGCGCCACCAGGGAAGCCCTGCAAATTTTTATGTAAATATTCTAACAAAATAAAATTGAAAAGCCCACTAATCTAAAGATAGCACCACTAGAGCTTAATAATATACACTAATGGTAACAGTTGAGTGCTGGAATGTATCAACAGTACGATTGAGAGTATATAAAAAATACACACAAACACAGACATACACCTATGCAAGGTAGAGGGACTGCAAGGAAATTCATTAACATAGAGTAAAGGGACTACCTTTTTTTCCTTTTCTCTCTCTCTCTCTGTTTTCTTCTTTTTTTAGTATTTCCAAGTTCTCTATAGGGCTTATGTATAACAAAATTAAAAAGAAAAAAAAAACTAAAAAAAGTGAACATTTAGCAAATATCAATAGAAAAAAATCAGATGGCTTTTCATTGCTTATTGTATATAAGACTGATTATACTTCATAAATTATCTAAGTTTATTTTTATTCATGCATAATTCAATTTTAAAATATATTTCATTAATATGTAAATATAGGTTAAAATAATTCTCTGGCTCCTCTCACTAATAAAGTATATTAGTACAGGAGAGAGGCAGGTTGAAGGAGTGTAGCTGCCACCTAGAAGGCAGCCCTTGTGAAAAAGATAACAAAGAGAAGTAAAATGCCTTTTGATAAACTTCCCAATTACCCTAAGAAATTAAGACAAGTCCTAATGCTTTTCTTAGTTCTACTGGAACTCATTGCTCATGATTCTTCATTTATGATAAACATACTTCAGCTTTCAAAGACAGCTAACAACATAAAATTTACCTTCACAATTGGAGGGAAAAATTTTGAGTGTCCAAAGATACTCAGCCTGTACTAACAAAAAAGATCATCAAGTTTACAATAAAAATTTTAAAGTATAGAATATTTCCTTGGGAGGAGATGAAAACAAGAAATTGGTAAATAGAGCAAGCACCTTTATTCTACTACTGTCTACTTTCACTAATGGTGGACTTAACCTCATTTTATTACTGTATATAAAAATAAATCTATTTTCTTTAAAAATTGGAAGACTGCTATACTCTATGGTGTATTGGTTAATAAGGGTTCATAGCATTTTAAAGGGAGTGATCTCCACTATTAGCCTCAGGAGCAATCAGACTACTTGCTACAGTAAATTTCTGAAAGAATAGAAGGCTTCTTCATATAAATGTGCCTCTGGGACTGGAAATGTTTAGTTAGGATACTAACTCATAATTCATTTCTCCTATATAAAGCTTTCTTTAAACAATGTTAAATTTTACAGTGTCTTACAGAGTAAAGAGTAGAATCTTTCCTAAAATTTACTTCAATTTAAAACAGGATGATGATCCAAAGCACCGTATTTAACTATTACAAATCTTCAAAGAGCATAATGCTTGTGGAACAGTAAGTATCAATGATGACTGCCATACCTAAACTAGGGTCTAGTTTTACTTTTATTCCAAAATAGGAAGACAACAGTTAATAACAGAAAACAACAGATGCCTTTGAATTTTCTAATGAAACTAGTAACGGCTTTTCTTGTAGTCTTTTTGTTTTTTACCTTCCTGTCATCCACAGTTCTGTAAAATGCAGAAGTTCTAAACTTGGAATCAGATTATCCAATGAAAACAAACAAGCTTTTAGTAATGGAAAAAATGACTTAATAGAAGAGCAGAAGCTAGCAGAAAAGCAGGTATATGATCCCATTCATGTAAATTGAAAACAAGACAAAAGCATTCAATGATGCTTTTTACATGATGTCTTGACAAAAGGAACATCTTAAAGAACTTAACAGAATCGTAAAATACTAATATAAACCAGTGACCTGTTAGTTCTGTGTTACACTTTAGTCATTATATGTTCAGTTACTATATTTCAGGTAAAGTTATTTAGAACCAAGGACTGATAATTCAAAAATTAACTATACCACTATCAGTCAGGGTCCTACATTTCTTGTCTAATAGCACCTACAATCATAAACAGCAAGCTCTGGGACAGTAGAGAATATTAGCTGGCAAAAGCAAACGTTGGTGTTCCCTGGCTGTATAAAGGGAGCTTCTTGGCATACCCCATTGGTACACTTTAGATAACTGATCTACCAGATCTGCTCTAGCCTATCTACTGAACTATAATTAGCTCCAGGGATTCTTTAGGATACCAAGAGAGGTAGAATCTGGTGATTCAAGTAGCCCAGAGGCACTATAACACAGTGTTTATGAGAATAATGTTGAGTCAAACTACCCAGATCCAACTCCCAGCTCTGCAATGTATAAGCTTTGTTGTGACTTTGGAGTCACAACTGCATCTCATTTTTTTCATTGGTATAAAAGAAAAATAAGATTAAAAATATTTACCTCATATGATTGTTGTGAGACAATACAACTGCCTAAAACAGTGTTTATTATATAGTTAAACATTATTATTTATATTTACTATTTATTATTCCCATGAGATCAGTCCCTCTGAAGATGGAGAGATGTGAATTCCCACACTTTTTATAAGAACCTGTTACAAACTAAAAGTTCTATGCCCTAACCATAGCCTCTGTTTAATGTCATATCATTTTCACAATAAAAAGGGGAGGAATCATTTTGTAAACTGACAACAAATCATAGTTATTATTTGGGTGGGACTAAAGGAGAGAGGAGCTTATTGGGTGAGAAAAGGGCCTATGTGAGTTAGTCTGAAAGACCCAACTCAAACAGAACTGGATGGAATAACTATGACAACAATTAAAATGAACATTCAAAGTATATATCAAAATATAATATCCATTAATTACTTTGTCCTAAAAAATTTTTTTCTGATCTTTCTAAGAGCTACACAAAATTAAAATACTTTAAATCTTGTTTACTCCACTATGAATTCCACTCCTAAAAAAAGAGTTAATGCATTAGAACATATGAGAGTTAATGCATTAGAACACATGAATAAAAAAACAACCCTCCAATTTTGAGGGTTAGTCACTGTACAAAGCTGAATACTATCAGTTCAAATTATTTAAAAATTTCTCAATTTAGTATTCAGTATATGCAACTCTATTAAAACAGAGAATGTAGCCAGTGGCTAAGAAAGTTAATATTACTGACTTGGAAAGCAGAAAAAAATGCATCAATTCCTAACTTCTTATAACATCTAATAAAAATCACTTTGTAACTTTAGCAAAGAATTCTAAAGATAAAAATGATAAAATACTGATCCAAAACCCAACTCTTTCTTGGTAAATAGGAAACCTACAGTATCAAATAAAATCAAAGGGACACTGGAAGGAATATTTTCATCTCTGAGCTGAACTACTGAAATGGCTTCCAAGCTGCTATTTTCCATAACTATCAAATAAATTTCCTCCAATGGACCGCAATTCATTCACTCCAGTGTTATATTTTCTTTCTTTTTTTTTTTTTTTTTTTTTTTTTTGTGGTACGCGGGCCTCTCACTGTTGTGGCCTCTCTGGTTGTGGAGCATAGGCTCTGGATGCGCAGGCTCAGCAGCCATGGCTCACGGGCCCAGCCGCTCTGCGGCATGTGGGATCTTCCCGGAGCGGGGCACGAACCCGTGTCCCCTGCATTGGCAGGTGGACTCTCAACCTCTGTGCCACCAGGGAAGCCCCCAGTGTTATATTATTTACCAATTTATACACCAAGTCTATACTTCTGGGCTTGCCACCATGCATCCTCCCAATCTTCCTTCACAGGCTATTCTCCATTTCCTAAAACTAAACCTCCTTCAGGCCCAAAACCCTGATTGCATTTCCATCACCTGGGTTCAGCTCCTTCCTCACTCGCCTCCTTCAGCACATTTTAAAGACTGTGAAAAATTTTACCTTACCTTTGTTTTATGAATCATCTCAAACATACAAACCACAGAATTCTTACACCCTCCCCCACCTAGAATACCTTTTAACATCTTGTAAAATACCAGTGTTCAACTGAAGAGCCATCTGAGAAAAGATCTGTTGTCTGAACTACTGCAATAGCCTCTGGAATTGGCCTCCTGGTAGAACTCCCTCTTCCCTCCTCCCCCACACCTCAATCTTTTCTATAGGCAGCAGTTGTCTCTTAAAAATGCAAATCTCATTATATTAAGGCAATTAAATATCTCCAATGCATTTCTAGAGCTCTCAGTATGAAATGGATTTAATAGGACTTACTGGGGCCTACCAGATCTGACCTCGACCTACCTCTCTATACCTCTTGTGGTACCATTCTTCTCATCAGTGTGCTCTGGTCACACTTCCATTGGGTTCTTCCTTGGGCCTTGCTCCCTCCCTCCTTCCTATGAAGGGCTTTTATATGTTGTTTCCTTTGTCCAGAACCTATTCCTCAAGATTCTACCCCTCCACTCTCTACCAACTTTACCAAGTCATACCAATTCATCCTTCAGCTCTCAGTTCAACCATCACTTCCACAGAGATCCCATCCAAACTCTCAAAACCTTTCGTTCCCTTTATTATGCATTTTTAAATGAAATATATTTGACATATACAATATTTTATGCTTTTCCTTCAAAATACTCAACACTGATTGATCATTCGATTAATGAGAACAAAAGTTTGTCTGTATTCCTTAGCTCCTAGTACCAAGCCTGGCACATACAAAGAACTCAACAAACATTGTTAAATTCATGAAATACTCATAGTTCAATCACCAACTAATCAGTATAAGAGAATCTCTGCCCTCTACAAATATAAATTCTAACAGTTTTATAATGAATCAGTTTAATAAGGAGCCTCAGCAGTCTCTTGTGAAATTTCAGCTTTAAAAGATGTAGTAATCCAGAGACTTCCCTGGTGGCACAGTGGTTAAGAATCCACCTGCCAATGCAGGGGACACGAGTTCAATCCCTTGTCCGGGAAGATCCCACATGCTGCGGAGCAACTAAGCCCATGTGCCACAACTACTGAGCCTGTGCTCTAGAGCCCACGTGCCACAACTACTGAAGCCTGCACGCCTAGAGCCCGTGTTCCGCAACAAGAAAAGCCACCACAATGAGAAGCCCATGCACCACAACCAAGAGTAGTGCCTGCTCGCCACAACTAGAGAAAGCCCAGGTGCAGCAACAAAGACCCAAGGCAGCCAAATATAAAAAAAAAAAAATTTTAATTAAAAAAAATTTATTAAAAAAGATGTAGTAGGACTTCCCTGGTGGCGCAGTGGTTGAGAGTCTGCCTGACGATGCAGGGGACACAGGTTCGTGCCCCGGTCCGGGAAGATCCCACATGCCGCGGAATGACTGGGCCCGTGGGCCATGGCCGCTGAGCCTGTGCGTCCAGAGCCTGTGCTCTGCAATGGGAGAGGCCACAACAGGGAGAGGCCACAACAGTGAGAGGCCCGCGTACCTCAAAAAAAAAAAAAAAAAAGATGTAGTAATCCAGAGTAAATGTTTCCATTGGTATTATACATGTCTAACCTAGCAAAAGAGATAACTTTTAAAAATATTTGAATTCATTTGAAATCTCACATACTTCTTATACCAGCAGTGTATAAGAATTCTGGCTTCTCCACATCCTTCTCAGCATTTAGTATTATCAGTCTTTTAAATTTTAGCCATTCTGGTGGATATGTACTAACACCTTACTGTGATCTTAACTTGCATTTCTCTGATGAACGATATTGAATAAGTTTTTGTCATTTAACACCATTTGAATATTAATGGTGAACATTTATCACCATTTGAATATTTCCTTTTGTGATGTGCCTGATTGTGGATTTTTTCTTACTCATTTGTAGTTTAATACATACATACACACACATACACACCCCTGAATGTAAGCCCTATGTCAACTGTATGTGAGACAAATATCTTCCCGTTCTGAAGCTTACTTCTCTTAATGCTATCTTTTGAGGGACAGAAATTCTTCATTTTAATGCACTCCAATTAATCAGTCTTTTCTTTTATGGTTAATGATTTTTGTGTCCTGTTTAAACATATTTTCCCTACCTGAAGTTTATAAAGATATCTTCATATGTTACCTTCTTCAATATCTATTATTATATATCTCACATTTAGACCTACAATCCATCTCAAAGTGATCTTTGTGTATGGTGCAAAGTATAGGGTGTCAACTCTTTTTCCATATGGATAGGTTGACTGAGTTCCATTTATTTTCCATCAGAGTAAATAAGTCCTCGCACCTTTCTGTTGTTTTTTTAAATTTTTTATTTTATATCAGAGTAGGGTTGATTAACAATGTTTGTTAGTTTCAGGTGTACAGCAAAGAGATTCAGTTATATATATACATGTATCTATTCTTTTTCAAATTCTTTTCCCATTTAGGTTTTTATACAGTATTGAGCAGAGTTCCCTGTGCTGTACAGTAGGGTCCTTGTCGATTACCTATTTTAAATACATCAGTGTGTACACGTCAATCCCAAACTCCCAATCTGCCCCTCCCCTCTCACCTTTTTGTTCTTAAAGATTAACCTGGCTATATCTGGCTTTTTTCATTTATGTATCAGTGTCATTTTTCACACACACACACACACACACAACTAGGATTTTGGTTCAGCTTGTGTTGAATCTGTGATTGGTTTGGAATTAACTTCTTTATAATAGACAATCTTCCAAACCAAGAACATGGTATTATATATCCCTTCACTTACTTAGCTCAGATGTTCTCTGAAACCCTTACAGGAAGTCTGGCAAGGTTAATACTCTCATTCTCTCACAAGTGTATGGTGGAATTTTTCAGAAGCTAAATATGTGAAATCACAACAGACTTATGTGCAGAAATAGTTACGAGAATCCATTTATCTTCTATTAAGCAAGACATTAAAATCTGCAGGGGCTTCCCTGGTGACGCAGTGGTTGAGAGTCCACCTGCCGATGCAGGGGACACGGGTTCGTGCCCCAGTCTGGGAGGATCCCACATGCCGCGGAGCGGCTGGGCCCGTGAGCCATGGCCGCTGAGCTTGCGCGTCCGCAGCCTGTGCTCCGCAGCGGGAGAGGCCGCAACGGTGAGAGGCCCGCGTACCGTAAAAAAAAAAAAAAGAAAAAAAAATCTGCAAAATGTAAAACAATGTCCTTCTTAAATTTTTTGACTTGAAAAATGCTTATCTTTCATAAACATGTTATTTACATTGGCATATGAGTTATTATTATTATTTATTTATTTATTTATTTATTTTGCGGTATGCGGGCCTCTCACTGTTGTGGCCTCTCCCCTTGCGGAGCACGGGCTCCGGACACGCAGGCTCAGCGGCCATGGCTCACGGGCCCAGCCGCTCCGCGGCATGTGGGATCTTCCCCCTGGATCGGCAGGCGGACTCTTAAACACTGCGCCACCAGGGAAGCCTGATGAGTTATTATTTTTAAATAAATAAAATTTTTAAGATTTTTGGGCTTTACTTTCTAATTTGTTAAATACTGGAAGACAGCCAACATAAACAAAATAGGTCTTTGGGTTCTTCACTATTTTTTTACATTAAAATAATAATAGAGAAAAAATAATAATAAACAAAATTTTTAATATTTTATTAAGTTAATTATAGATTCACAGATAGTTGTAAGAAATAATAGAGATATTCTTTTGCAGTTTCTCTTAATGGTAAAATTTTGTGAAAACTGTATACAGTAATATTATATCCATGACACTGACATTGATACATAATCCATCTATCTTATTCAGATTTCCCCAGTTTTACTTGCCCTGTTTGGTGCAGTCTGTTCTCAAGTTTTAAGAGTATAAAGGGGGCCTTGAAACAGAAAGGTTTGCGAACTGCTGATTTAAGATTTAACGTTTATTTATGCTTTTTCATTTTTATAGATTGTGCATTTATACAATCGATATTTGCTTCTTTATGAACTCACTTATTAATTCTAGCTTTGTCTTCCTCATTTCCTCATAATACATTATTTAGAATGACAGAGTAGGTATGTTTGCTCAGAAGCACCCAACCCCACCAGCTACCGTTGATGACCTCAGATGATATATGAATAACCTAAGGTGGATCAATTGTTCCCTTTCCTGGGAATCTGGAATTAGAACTGAGATGGAGATCAATCTCTCTGGATATCTAGACCAGATACAAATTCTGAAATTGTTGGTGCCCTTTTATTTCGCCTTCAGAACTGGGAAAACAAGAAATCTAGTTTGCTGTAAAAAAGAATAAAGTGGATTTGGTGAAAACAATGATGAGAAACTTAGAAGACTTCCCGGGTTGCATATACTTCCTGGCTGTAATTCATTCCAGAAGCCCAGATTCTGTACGACATCTCTATAATCTTACAGTGAATTACTTTATTTAGGCTAGTTCCAATGGGCTTTTCTTACTTAAAACAAAGAATCCTAACTAACATGTGCAAGAGGTCCTTCTACCACTTTACTACTAGTGGCTCTCCTAATACCACGGCTAAGTAATGTGGCTTTGAAAACTGGCTCCCTTTCTTTTTCGAGGGGCTCAAAAGAAAATAGTTGAGCTGATGATTTGGGGGGTCTTAAGATATATGAAGAACTGCAACTGTGTGTATATAATTATGTATACATTTGTTAACAAATCTAGAAAAAGGACTGGAATACAGGTTTTCCTCGGTAGAAATAATTTTATTATACAAAGCCATTCCACCGGTGAGTAATCAAAAAAAGGCTGTAACTGGTAAGATCTGCTGAAACAGTAGACAAATCTCAAACTGTAGAACTAGACACAGTTCTGCAGATGTGATCTAACAGTATAAAGGAACGGATTTTTTTTAAAATCTAGACTAAATACTAATTTAGCTTTACACTGAATTAGTACATTTTTTAATGATTATACTGTTGTCAGACACTGGGCTTCCTTTTAAACTTTCAAGCAACATTTTTCTCATGTTTGTCAAAGATGGTCTCTACCAACCTATAGCCATCAATATTTTAATGCAGAATTTTACATTAATATCCATTATCTTTTCATTTTACTGTTTAAAACCTACTACTTCACACTTTTTAGAGTTCTCTCTCAGCTTCTACAGTTTAATTTACTAAAATGTTGAATAAGATAGGGTCAAGAACACAAGGACCACTACACTTTAGTCCTTCCTCTGGGTTGACATTGAGTGATTAATCAGTAGACTGACGTGTATACAGTGGTTCATCCAGCGGTTAATCCATCCAATCCTGCTAATATTCATGTCAGATTTTTGTCATGTTAACCGCAAAGATCTAACAAGAGCCTGTCCAAGTGCTGTACTACAAAATCAAGCTACACTAGGTTTGCAACATTTCCCTCATTTGAACTTACCAACCTTGTCAAAAAAGGAAGTAAAGATAGGTCAACACAAAACTTGTTTTCAGAAAACTCAAATGGGCATCTAGTGAACAACATAACCTCTTCTAAAACTATACGCTTAATAACGGATATTAGAATTCTGCTGGTTACAGTAGAAGACCATTTTTAACAAATGTACATGTAAATTAAGGGCTATGCCATCAGTTATTTCCTTCTTCCTAGTCTTGCTCCATTTCACAACTCTTAAAAGCCCTCTTTTCACTGTCTTCAAAAATATTTTCACGGGCTTCCCTGGTGGCGCAGTGGTTGAGAGTCCACCTGCCGATGCAGGGGACACGGGTTCGTGCCCTGGTCTGGGAGGATCCCACGTGCCGCGGAGCGGCTGGGCCCATGAGCCATGGCCGCTGAGCCTGCGCGTCCGGAGCCTGTGCTCCGCAACAGGAGAGGCCACAGCAGTGAGAGGCCCGCGTACCGCAAAAAAAAAAAAAATATTTTCACAAAATTCACATAACTCTAAGCTTCACCATTCCTGATTCTAAGAGATTTGAGGCCATTTTTTCAATTCATTCTTAAAACAGATATCATTAAATTCATAATTTTCATATTCATATAAAACAAGGCAAAAGAGCTCACTGTATAAAAATTGCTCTTCTATCTTTTAAAATCCCTTTATTCCTCAAAACTATCTACTTTTTTGGAAATTATGCTTATCTTTTCTTGGTAGTCTACTTGCCAAAAGCTTCAAAATACATCCGACTAAACCCCTAATTCATTTTCTTACTTGTAAAACTCTCCCAAGGTGTACATCATAATGACAATCAATATTTCCTTATGAAATAAAAGGTTCAGAGAAAAGATAGGCATAATATAGAAATAAATATTTAAAACACCAGCTTCCTTGAGTGGACAAAGACTAGCAAACTAACATACATTATGTCAATGTCTCTATATTTAATCCTGAATACATTACTGGAAGTAGCCATTCAGGCATTTGTCTCCAGTTCAGATTCATCTTCATCACTTTTTTCTGCTTGTTGTAAAAGATTCAAAGAGGACATAATCCAGAATATCCATAACCATTAATAGTTGGGGTAATTTCCCCAGATTTTTTTCTATGCAAACAACATTTCCCCCAAATGGAATCACATCATACATACTGTCTTGCAACTAACTGACACTTAAGTGTAATTTAAAAGGGAACAATTTATGTATCATCCGTCTATTTCACACATAAAACAAACATACACATAATCTCCCCCCAACTCCCCAATAAGACTGGCTTTAAATGTCAAGTGTGGGTTAAAAAGGGGAAAAAATGCCACGGTAATTTTGAATTAAGGTTTAATATATATAGTAACCAGGCTCGCCGTGCCACTCCCCACTTGCAGCCCCGTGCCTCGCTCCTCTCCGACATAGCAAGTTTCCAGCCCTACAGAGACTGAACAGTGCATCGAGTCTCTAATTGCTGTTTTCCAAAAGCATGCTGGAAGGGACGGTAACAACAGCAAACTCTCCAAGGCCAAGTTCCTTATCTTCATGAATACAGAGCTGGGTGCCTTCACAAAAAAACAGAAGGACCCTGGTGTCCTTGACCGCATGATGAAGAAACTGGACCTCGACTCTGATGGGCAGCTAGATTTCCAAGAATTTCTTAATCTTATTGGAGGCCTGGCCATAGCTTGCCATGACTCCTTTATTAAGTCTACCTATTCCCTGAAGTAAATCGGAGGAGTCTTTGGGCCTGGCCTCCAGCCCCACTCCCTTTCCTTCAGCCTCCCAATTATCATCTACCCCTCACAGCCCACACATACCCTGAGCCCAGCGTGCCCACCACCCCATGCAGGCCACTCCGGCTGGCAGTAATAAAAGCATATTGTTTTTTAAAGCACACACTGGAGGGTCAGTAAATTTGTGCAAGGGAGGGAGATGACTGGGAGGAATATAAATTAGATTGATGGAAACAGTTACCAGAAGTTGCAAAGTAAATAGTAAAAGTGCATCTTGGGTGTATACATAATCACAATTAATGATACCAACATAATCATCTCTAAATTTCTCAGACTGATGGAGAGACGTCACTTTTCACTCATTAAATGTCTATATACCCCTACTACGGTACTGTCATAGGCTCTGAGGATACAGTCAGCAAGACAGACAAGGTCCTGCCTTCACTGAGGTTACCTTCTAGTGGGGGGAAAACAACAAATGAATAAACAAACAAATAAACAAAGAAATATGAGAGTACAAAAAAATATATAATAACCATTTCCTATTTCACTTAAACTAAAACAAACCCAATGATGCTTGCTCAAGGTCAAAATAACCCACACAACCTTTTTATAGAACTGCTACTTTTCTCATTACCTATGCAACTTTAAAAAAACATTAAAATATGCAAAAAAGTCACAAATACTCAAAGCAACTCTAGTAATATTTTGAGCAAAAAAGAAAAAATATATCAATGTATAAGTTTTTTAGTTAAAGCTAATATTTTATTTTCCCTGAAAACACAGATTACTAAATTTAGAAACCGAAAAAAGTTAGAGGACTTTTTTTTTTTCTTTTTTGGTTGCACTGTGCGGCTTGCAGGAGCTTAGTTCCCCGACCAGAGATCAAACCCGTGCCCACCGCAATGGAAGCCCAGAGTCCTAACCACTGGACCTCCAAGGAATTGCCAGAGACTGTTGAATGAATTCTTTTTTTTTTTTTTTTTTACCTGGGCCTCTCACTGTTGTGGCCTCTCCCGTTGCGGAGCACAGGCTCCGGATGCGCAGGCTGAGCGGCCGCGCAGGCTCAGCGGCCATGGCTCATGGGCCTAGCTGCTCTGCGGCACGTGGGATCTTCCCGGACCGGGGCACGAACCCGTGTCCCCTGCATCGGCATGCAGACTCTCAACCACTGTTCCACCAGGGAAGCCCTGAATGAATTCTTTAACTGTACAATTCTTAGCAAAATCCAACATGCTCTGAGAAATGTACTCTCACCTCTCATTTTAACCTATGACCTTATTTTCACAGAGCATTATTTCAGGCAATGAAAGACTTTTACATTGTTACAACTACCACTCCTTTATTGCCCTCCAACAGTTCTGTGCTCTACCTCTCCACATCCCCATATCCCTCCTCAATATCTGATCTTACTTAAAAGTTCTTAATTAATTCTTCTGAAGTGAAAGGCAAAGAAAATCAAACACAAAACTTTGCATGTATTTTTGGACAGTTCACCAAAGCCCTAAAAACTCTAATCATGAATCCTTATCCTGTGGTTTTCCTGTAGCCTCATAAATTCTTTTCTATTTGGTATTCAAATAGATCTAAGAAAACAGGCTAATTCCAAGACAAGACACCCTCCAAACAAGATTTTTATATATTATTTATAAGTAGGCCACCTCTCCTCAATATCCTATGTGTCCTTTAGCATACTTCACAGTTGATTGTAATTTCTTGCTTACAGCCTGTCTCCCCCAATAGCATTCAAATATACTCTGCTCCTGACCTATACAGTAAGCACAAAGTATTTACTGAATGAACACACCCTGTGAAAAGCACTCCATTCACCTAGTCATCCAAACCGGAAACCAAGTGCACCCACATCTTTGCCTCTATTCCCTCACTTCAAACCCCTTCCAATTCCTACCAATTCTATCTCTTAAATATGTCCTGAGTTCATCTACTATTTACCAACTTCACCTCCACTAAGCTAGTTCACCTCTCTTAGACTCCTCAAGTTCCTGAACTAGCCTCCCTGCCTCCAGTCTTGTCCTCTTTTCAGTTGCATTCTCCATGCTGCAGCCAAAGTGATTTTTCTTAAAGAGAAAATTTGTCTCATTTAACCTGATTAAAATCCTTCAACACTTCTATACACCTCCAGCTCTTTGCACATACTATTCCCTCTCTCTGAAATAGTTTCCAATACCCTCCCCTCCCTTACAACTTTGGCTAACTTTTACTCATCATGCAGCAGCTTAAATAATAACTTTCTCCAGGAAGACTTCCCCTTCCCCAAATCAAGGTGAGATGTGCCTTCATCAACTTCCACACCACTCTGTACTACAACCATTACATATCATTACACATAACTGACATAAATGTATAATTTCCTTATGTTTATCTATATACCCTAATACACTGCAAGCTGTGTTAGGGCAGGGACAATGACTGGCTGTCTTCTTTGTCATCATACCTGGCTATACTAGAAAGTGCTCAGTCACAGCTTGCAATCACACTGTAGCTGAAGTACATGAAAGATGGTCTTGGTTATGACACTTCAAAGTCAGACCACAAAACTATTGCCAGGAAGCACAACTGCAGAGAAGGCGTTATAACAACAGCACTGTGGGCACTGGTGCCCTACCAGAATACCCCATTTATGGCTAGGGTTGTCCATTTATTTGTAGGAAGCGAGGGGCCAGTTTGGGGTTAGAAATTTTGTTTACGTTTTTTCTGTTTGTTTGTTTTTTATGGTTAGGATGATTTCAATAAAAAGTTTGAAGAGACAGCCATTTAAATAAGATTATGTAGAGAAAATAACTTATACTGTATATTTTTTAAACAAAGATTTTAATATTAGTTATAAGGTATCCAACAGATTCTTCCAAGTTCTTAATATCCCCCACCAAAAAAAAAAAGTAAACAATTATAAACTCTACATTCAGTTTTAAAGAGATTTCTCATATACAGCAATTACACTATTCTCTAACAAGAGATTCAATATCAGCTGCTTCCAGTCTCTTTTCTTTTTGGTTGGAAAACACTTTAAGTAGCCCCATTAGAATACTTTTTAAAAGAGAGTTACATTTCAGATTATGATTCAGTGAAAATGGCTTGGCTGAGAAGATTAAGCACTTGAGAAAAAACTCAACAAAAGTATTCCCTTTTACTGACAAGCGGGGAGTCACATATTCCTCAAAAAAGCTTCAAATGGCTCCCTCAGAAGTAGATAAAATTTGTATTTTAAGAGCAAAGGGATGTAATATTAAACTTACCTGCAAGTCTGTATGTATTGAAAAGCAAAAGGAAAACTTTATTTTAGAATTATAATAGCAAAGAACATGGATTTAATTCTACTCTGTATTCCTCTATAGGACCTAGTTCAGACCTTTATAAAGAAGGTAGCAAATTAATTGATGACTCGAGTGAATATTTTTCTCTCTCTTAATCAATAGTTAAACTGGTTCAGAATTTTCTTAATGGGAAGGAGGCTAATATTAAGATTTTTTTTAAATCTCAAGACATGAAAAATATCTACACAGAAGATACACAACAAGTTCTACCATGTGCAAGAACTGTACTCTAAGTAGCTGGGTGTGAATGTTTTAATGATTTATCTTACAACATACAAATGACTGTAAAACTTCCTATCTATGATACGAGGTAAAAGATAAAATTCAGTAAATCTTTAGTGAGCGCCTACTATGTGCCAGGCTCTGGAAATACAAAAATGTGGAAGATTGGGTCCTTACAGTCAGCCAGGAAAGACAAACTTAAAAACACACACTACTCAGTAAGAAGCATTTTAACAGCAGCAAAGAGGCAAAATGTAAGGTAAAATGAGCACCCCAGAGGAGAGTCTCTCCAGTGACATAGTTATTATACAAATTCAAAGGACAGAAAGATCCTTTCTGGAGGACAACTGGGTTGAACCCTGAATAATGACCAAGATTTTGATTGGCAAAGAGGGAGGGAGTATATTCTAGCGGTGGAAAAAGCAAGGCCATAGGCATGGAAGTAAAAAGAGTAGGATATAACACAGTGGAGATATATCAGGTCTAACATAAATGGTGAAACACCTTAAATCTGAATTTATGGAGAGGAGTGACATGACTGAAATGATATTGCTAAAAGATTAATGTGATAGCAGTATGAATGCTAGACTAGACCAGGGAGAGAAGAGGAAGGGAAAGCAATTAGACTATTACTTTACTCTAGTGATAAAAATAATAAAGGTATGACCTAGATTGACAGTAAGAGCAGCAAGAAAAAGAATTGATGCGAAGGCAGTTATGAAGACTGATTGTCTATATGTAGACAAGGGGATGAGTAAACAATAATTAAAATGTTTAAAGCTTAATCTAGAGATTAATGACATCATTATCAGAAACAGAGGCATCAATGAGAAGAATAGGTTTGGTGAAGAAAGAAATATATTCATTTCAGGTTGAATTTAAAGAAATTCCTGATATTGATGTAAATAAACAGTTGCTATTCTACGGCAAAGGGGGTGGACCTCTATTTACTACATCACTACTTGAAGATATATTTTTAAATATAAAATCACAATATATTGAATAATATTTTACTTTAAATCAACAGTTCGTCATCAGTAGAAAAATGGAAATGAGGGATTGGAGCTCTGCAGCAATGTGAGAACTGGAAACTGACTTGGAAGTCACAGGCACAGAGGAAGCAGATAAGATTTTAAGGTAAAATCAAAAGGCTACACTCACAACTGTTGGAAGAAATCTCAGTCCTGTATTTTATGCACACCAGCATCAGTAAGCATCAGCAATAAAGCATTCTATAGAAAACTATTATTACTCTCCTAAAACCTTTATAAAGTATACTGAAATAAAGATACAGATCATATAGTATTAAGACTCTACCAGGTAGCTCTTAAATCAGAGCTGATTATTGCCCACTGATAAAAATGAAATTCTACTCTAGACCTCAGTTCTAGAAAATCAAAAGTTTATAATGTAACTTCAGTACTGTTTTCTAGCTACTGGAGGGGGTTAGGGGAAGGGAGGTTATTCTAGAGACCAAGATAGGAAATTTGACTAGAAACACTGCTTCTTCTCCTATATGAATGACCTATTTTTACACACACACACACAAAAGGAAACTATCTTTCGTAACTTCTAATGAGAAAGAACATTCAACCAATTAAAGAAACTTTTAAATATAAGCTGTTTATATTAAAATGGAAGTAAAATATTAGATTAAGAAGTGTATTTGTGGGTTGTAAAGTTCCTAAAACTCTTCTCCGGACAGTGAAATTTAAGACACTCCATCGGGACTTCCCTGGCGGCCCAGTGGTTAAGACTTTGCCTTCCAATGCAGGGGGTGCGGGTTTGATCCTCCGTCGGGGAGCTAGGATCCCACATGCCTTGTGGCCAAAAAAAACAAAAAACAAAAAAAACCCACAAAAACATAAAACAGAAGCAATATTGTAACAAATTCAATAAAGACTTTAAAAAAAAAGGTCCACATTAAAAAAATCTTTATAAAAGAAAAAAAAAGACACTTGATCAAAACCAAAAATGGAAATGAATATTCCAAAAGACTAACCAATAATTAATCTGGTAAAAACATTCTGGCTATTCTATGAGCTTTCAAGAGGTTAAATTAAAAAAAAAAATTATTCAAGGGCTATTAAACAAATCAATGGGTCAATTTTGGTTTTATAATTTAAGTATTTAAAGCAATCGGTATTCAAGAGATTTTTAAGGTTAAAAATTTTTCTGATTCTTTTTTTAAAAAGTTTTATTTATCACCTTTCACTATCTGTTGTTCTGAATTTGCCCAAAGCGAACTCCTTGTTCTCTGTCACAATGGCAAAAAAGTACAAGAGTCAATAAACGAGAAATGAGGGTGGAGAAAACATAATAAAAATTTTAATGGTTGATATTTTAAAGACTTTGGCTTCACTGAGTTAAGGAATGTGCAAATAAATTACAAAAAGAAATTATTCAAATGATTATGCGTAAACTTGGCAACTTCTGCTTAAGTGTTTGTCAGCTAAAACAAAATATCTAATAAAGACAACACCTAAATAATGCCAAACTAACCACTGAATTCAGTTAATCAGGAAGACTTTGATAAGTCTGATAATTCTTGCAACATGTCCAAATTTAGAGGAGAAAAAAAAAAAACTCTAAGAAGCCTGTTAGATGTATTTTCTCTTTCTACCTAAGCCAATAAGATCTTCCTCCAAGCCAATATAATTGGGTTCCTCAACAACTGTAATAACTTTACATTTCTATATGACAACTTTAATAAAACATACTGATATAAACCATTATGCAACCATATCCTGACCTCAAGCATACAATAATATGTCTTCCTGAATCAATTCCATACTAAACCATGTAAACTACACTTGAAAGAAATTTGAAGAGTCATCTTACATAATTACATTATCATTTCTAATGCCGAAAGTTTCTTTCATTTCAACACCATGTTTTTAGAATCTAGAGTTATGCTATAGCTTAAAATAAACCTCAGCCAAATAAAAAGTTTGTTATACATTAGAGACTCTAAATTAATGGAACAGATAAAGAGCTAAAGACCATGCTATATTTTTACTGGGTGCCACACGCTAAATTCCAGATTTGTCCTGCAATTTGTCAGTCATTACAGTTCATCCAGTCAACTTTGTAAACAAAGGCTATAAGCCAAGTTTGATATGAGAATTCAATTAAATAAAATTTAAAACAGTCATCATTCACTAAACAGGAAGGAGTAAAAGGAAAAATGCCACCACACACCTCTTTTAAAAAAGCAGCAATATGCATGAAATATGAAACCGTAAGTTTCAACCTCCCAAACAAGTTTTTGTTACAGCATTAATCAACATCTTCCACATATAACATCTTCCACATATAACCAAGGCAACTTTGAGTTAGTTTACAAGTCTTTCATTGTAAGGGGAAGCTATTGCTGTTAAGTCGTTTTCTAGTAATTCCAAGTTGTCCACTAATAAAATGGAAAGAGTTTATGTTTTGACACCTATTACCATCACTGAAAAATTGCTTTTTAAGAAGAACTCTAAGTGGTTGTGTTGCTTTTGGCCTGTTAAAGGCAAAGCAACATTATCTCCGGATTGCCAATAGTTTCTCCTTATTTGGCTAACATTGAGAGATCCCAATCAGACTACTATAAAACTTTAACATGCACAAAGCATCCATTTTGAAAAAAGTTCGTGAACAGCTTTCTTTTTTCCCACCCCCCAAAAGAAAAATGAGAGCTTGGTAACCGGCTTTGAAAAGAGTGCCTCGTATTTATTCTTCTCTTTTTAACCCCAATGCACACCCCTGGACCTGGGGCCAAAGGATCTCTGACACTGCGGCAAACGCTACTCCAAGTTAGAGACTCTTTAGTACGTTCCGGCCCCGCGGTGGGCAAGCCCTTTAGAACGCTTCCTCACGCTACCCACTTTCACCCTCTCCCCTTCAGCCGGTGCAGATCAGCTAAATTACACCGTTTCCCCCTCCCCAGTGACCAAGAGTAATAAAGGAGAAAACAGGAAACCGTCTGCTCAGGGCACTCGGCTTAGGGCGCTTGATTACTATTATCATCATTTATAATCAAGTCCTAAAAACTACAATAAACCCAACGCCCTCCTAACAAGCCAAAGACGTCCCTCTACCCAAGTGTCCCCGGTGCCTCTTGTTCGTAGTTTTCTTCAGCATCCGCCGTCCTCCGACTCTGACATCACTGACATAGGGGGCCCAGGCACAACTCCACCACACCGCTCCCCATCTCGACCCCAAATCCCAGACACACGTCCACAAATGGCCCTGGGGCCCCAAGCGGACCACAGTCCTTTTCCCCCTCTGCCCCGGAAATCTCCTGGTTCCCATACTCCACCACCAACTGGTCTGAAGGGGGCCCCAAGCCTAGGGCCCTCCCTCTACCAGTTCTCTCCCTCCCTCCTTGGTGGGAAGCCGCCCCCTCACCCCGCGGCAGGGAGTCTCCCGCCGCCCCCAGCCTCAGGAGACCAAGAGCCGAGGGGAGGCCCAGGCGGGAGGCTAACGAGGACCGGCAGGGTCAGGAGAGCGGCGGCGGGGCGCACAGACCTGGTGCAGGGCAGTGAGTCCGTCCACATTGGCGTAATTGATATCAGCGCCGCGGTGCAGCAGCTTGAGGACCTCGTCCGTGTCGCCGCTGGAGCAAGCAGCCAGGAAGACGGCGCCATCATCGAACTTCACCTTGGTCTTCTGGCGCTTCACCACGGGAGGCTCGAGGTCCGTCTCGGAGCCGATCCAGCGCTTCAGCTGCTCGTTCCGCTTCTGCTTCGCGTCCGCCATCTTCATCCCCTCTCCTGCCGCCGGGTCTTCTTATCGCGAGGGGGGGAAAGGGGAGGCGGAGAGGGAAGAGAGGGGAGGCAGGGGGTGTGTGACTGTTTCTATGAGTGCTGGCCAGAAGAGGGCTGGGAACCGGGAGGAGACGCTCGAGACTTCCAGTATCCCACAGAGCACTGGGGCGGCGCGCCCGGCCGAGCGGACCTCCCTTCCTACTTCAGAAGCCCTCCCGCCCCCCGCCCGGCCACCCGTCACCGGCGGCCAATCTAACGTAACTTCGCGAGACCCGAGCAGGGAGGCGCCCTTCGGCCAGTGCGCATGCGCCATGGGCCTGTGCCCGCCCCAGGAAGAGCGCTCCCGCGAGCCGCGGCGGGGGAGGCCAGGGCACCGGAGGGAAGCGGGGGTGGTCCAGGCTGCCTGGGCAGCGGGGGCTGGGACCAACCTGGAAGGGCGGAGACAGGGAAGGAAGGTTGTCCTGCCCCGCTGAGGGCTCCTAGGGTTCCGGAGGCCAACAGTCGGGTTGTATGGAGGCTCTTCGGGGCCGACCTGCCTCCAGGGCTGTCTCAGCTCGGCCGAGTCGTTTGCTCAGGGCGGAGGATTTTCCTATTGGCTGCGTTATTTGAATAGAATGGAGGATAGATAGGTCGTGAATTAAGCGCTAGTGATTTCCCTTTCTGAGGAGCTCAGATGAATTTGCTAAGAACCTTTTAAAAGTAGGGTCTGTGTGTACAGCTGAGGGATTTGTTGGTAGTTAACCCAGATCTCAGCCCAAGGTGACCGCCTGGTGACAAGGGTTGACCTGCAGTAATTGCAGTGGCTTTCTGCCAGCCTCCACTGTAGAAACGTATTTCCTCTTATGCTTATTTTTTCTTGCTTTGTTGTGTGTGTGTGTTGTTTTTGTTTTTGTTTTTTTTCTCTCGCTCGTATTTTGGGTCCTCTTT